GTAGAGGATCAGAAGGCAGGGCATTGTTCGGCTTGGTGAGGGCATTAGATGGTACCTAGTTGAGCGGGGGGACGTCATCTTATGAGTACCTGTACATCCTTGTGACGAAAGTGACTCACTTGCACGATTTCGCAGCTTCACAGGTGTAACAAACCTGACAAGAGTGAGACCTTTTAGTTAACAAGAACTGATGACTGGAACTAACTGAATGCCCCTCCAGACCGAACAGCACCGATTACAGTTGCAAACAAAGGCTAAAGAAGTTATTCTTCAGTTGGAAACGTTTTGCGCGCGTGGTCGCGTGCGTCATTACGACTGCGTAAATAAAAGCACCTTATAGTTCGGAAATTAAGGGGCCTATTGGCCACGGATACTGGGGCATAGCGAACAGCTGGGTTTAATGCCACACTTGCTATTCACCAAGTGTTGTGGATTGCTCTCTTCGACGGTTGCTGGAGAACATGTTGGCACGCGTCAAACCCAGCCCCTAACCCCCCCCCCTCCGCAGCGAACAAGATAGTGATTGATTTTGTATATGTAGCTTTAATTTTTCAGTTCAATGACTACAAAGCCGAGTTGTTCAAAGAGGCCGAAAGAATTGTCATGGAGGAGTTTCCGAAAGAAAGTGATTGAGTACAACAACCTGCTACAGGTACCGGTAACCTGAACTTGCTTTTGATGAGGTAATTACAAATTGTAATCGTCTCATCTTTTCTAGACTCATCGCTTTTCGTATGCTCGATTGCCGGAGATGATGCCTGATCCGGATTTGAACATTCCCGTCCCTTGCGTGGCACACTTGGTACCTTTTTCTATCCATGTCTTTTGCCTTTTTGATGTCAGTACCTCTATCTGAACTTCCACCACAGAACGATGTCGATGGAGATGCTCCTGTGGCGAAGAAGCGAAAGCTTGCAGATTTTGATCCAAGTGCCAATAATGGTGAGTTATTACAATCAAGGGGACCTTTGACCTTGGAGGGTCACTCAAAGAATTTTTTGTGCAAAAATAGGGTTCACGTCATCCAAATAGAATTTCCGTACTTCCGTACGTGAAATTAGTTCATTCACTCATTGACTCCTCTTCCTGTTCGAGTTATAAGCAAATTCTCATTCTCATCAGAGCACCGCTATCCAAAAAGTCCTCCAACTACCTTCCATCCCCATCCAAGTTGCGAGCGCCCAATTTAAGCCAAATTCGCCACATAAATTTTGGTACTCGACGAAATTAGAGGTTTATATATAGGAACAATGTCGAAAATATATCTATAGACGTGGAAAAACTGCGAAGTGAAAAGCCTTCTAGTTCGTTGAAAACGTTTGGATGAGCGGACGAGTTCCCCGTAGGCATGTTGTCAATAACCGCTACGGTAGGTACGAGTGCAAGTATGTACTCATATCATATCATACTCATACTATCCACGCAGCACCGCAGCCGCTTCATACCAATGCCTTCGCTCCATATTTTAGTTAGAAGCAATACGAGAATCAGGGAGGTCGTCCATTTGTGGGCGGGCTGGCGTGGTGGGCGTTCGGGTCGGTATGTTGTAGCTTGATAGGGCCCTTATAAGGGTACCTTCCTTGGAAAAGGCGCTACGCAGCGCCTGCTCAGGGTCGCGGAATTCCGTCCTGCCAGGCGTATTAATCCTACTCGTCTTTAGGGATTTATCGTGCCAACTGCCTTTAAGTTGTGGTCGGCGAAGAAATTACCTTGGGCATCTCATAACCGAGCGCTATGATAGCTGAATCCTTCCAGTAAATAAATGTTGCCGTTCAGGTACTCCCGTATATGGCTTTATCAATGGCACCGTTCCATGCAACGCACATCTTGCTGACCTGATGGATCAGATTCGTCCGCTGCTGCGAGATGCGGTAGAGAACGTGAACAAGGTTTGTTATAATGTTACGATGTTGTTGGTGGACTGTACTGACGTATCTAGACCGCTCCCATTTCGGTCATCTTTATTCTATAGACCTGAGCTTGGGGGAAGGAATGACGAGCAGGTTGCAGGTGGTCTTGTGTCCCTCTTCCACACTAGCGCC